ATCGCGAATTGGTTGCCTGTAAATTACTGATTACCAATTCACGATATATTTCACTTAAAGTTGAGTGATAATACAAAACCATTAATGGACCTTACTGACTACCATAACCATAACCATTAATGTTCTCAAACCATAAGTAAAAACGTTCTAATATAGTTCTCTTTCCGAAAATGTATGGAGAAAACAAGAATTTGGAATGGTAATGGTTCTTAACAACCCACCTTCGCGGATAGTTGTCCTTTCTTATCTCGGTCTAAAACCCTTTTGACGGTCCACCGGGACACTCCCACGGCGATTGAAATGTCTTTTTACGACATTTGCGCGTGGGACAAATCACGAATACACTGTCACTTCGTCATGGTGCAACTGTCAAACTAAGTCAATCCTTTTTTTATACACAGCCTACTACGGTATGAGCTATGGAGATTGCTAAAGTATGACTGTGTCAGTGATTTGTTTTCATCGGGAAAATTTTCCGCTATGAAGCTTTTTTTCCCGATGAAAACATTTTGCGTATACGTATACGTGGTATGCGTGACGTAGTGTGCGTACGATAAACGTCAGCAATCTCTATAGGTTACGTGCATGCAAAAAAAAACCAAGGCATTGTATGCACAGGTGAAACGGGAACCTTATTTGTACGATGGTGCAAACATTATCACGCATACGGTATCGTATACAATGTCCACTTTAGGCCTGATATTTGAAATTAAGCATCTCCAACTATTAAAACCATAAAATTGTTAATCCAGAGCTCACGGCAAGTAATCAAAACATGTGGTCCCACTTACCCCATTTCTCGTCTAATATTTCAAGATTTTCTCATCTTCAATGAACCGCCATTGTTTTTGGGACTGACATACGAGTTAAATCATACCACAAGATTTAAATTGGATGTACACAATATTGGTCCAGCGAGCTTTTAATGTAACTGTCGATTTTTTCAGACCTACTTCCCCCAGTGTACCTTCTCATATTTTCGATCAGGGTGTCGACTTAAAGTCGAAAAAAAAAAATTCCCTGACTTTCCAGTCAGTTTTCAGAAAAAATTCTAGTCAACAAAACTCCGTTATTTTAACCTAAGAAGCTACAACGTGATGTGCTTTATTATACCGCAGTGCAAATTAAGGTTAGTTTAAAATGAGCAGCAGGACAAGCTTTCGAAAATATCAAGAATAGCATACCCGCATAAACAAAAACCATAAGATGCGCCTAACCACTAATTCGAGATATCATCCCAATTTTATGTGGTATGGTCACACCATCTAAGATATCGTCAGTATATGGTACCCGTTTATTAGGGTACTCATCATCATAGATCTGACGTCGCGCTACGACTGAAACGTAATGTGGGCGGAAGCGGAACGGAAACGGCAAGTTTGACAATTCAAGACCAACAATTGAAATGGCCTTAACTCCATTTTGTAAAAAAAAACCTTGTAAGGCCATTTTCTCGCGAACCGAAGTCCACAAAGGCACACCAACATAATGAACAGGTAGGGAAAATTCTCCTCTACCCGATTGTGGTAAAGGTTTGCGAATGAAGGTTTCGGTTCGTGAGAAAATGACCTTACAAGGTTTGTTTACAAAATGGAGTTAAGGCCATTTCAATTGTTGGTCTTGAATTGTCAGAAATGACATCAAGATGCCTAACCGCACTCGATTTGATTCTACTAGTTTTCAATCCGCCAAGTAGGCTACTCAGATCGGGCTTTTCCGCTACCACAGCCGTTCCGTGTCATTACGAATGGGCCTTGACTCTTTTTTTTTTTGGGTACAGTACGCAGCTCCAGCTTGCGTGACAGCTTAATTTTCAAGACTTGACCCATTTGAATAAATTTTGCTTCTATCTTTGACAATACAGCAGAAGGACTAGCCTATGTTGGCCGCTTGAACACTGGATTCCGTATGTATTGTTTCAAGATAGTTATAGAAAAAATGCTGTGACGTGTGCGCGTAGATACATCCGCGTAGTAAACCGGTTGAATAAGTAAATCCGTTTCGAACGAAATATCTAAATTATGTGAGTTACGAAAACCGCGCGAATTCCGAAAGCCGTGCGAAACAACTGAAGCGAGAAAAAAGGCTTATTATCAAGAGTGTTACCAAAATAAATGTGATAGCCTTTGTTGGCAAGTTGATTTATTTTGGTTTCCTCCCTAGATATTCTATTTATTTACTACTGAGCTTTGTATTAAATTAGTTTATTTAAAGAACGTATCAATCATTTCAAGATTTCGCGACCGCACCGAACAAATTCTATACTACAGAAGTGGTGAGCTCTACCGCATTGCGAATCACTTCTGCGTAAGCTCCGTAGACGTAGGCGCGTTGATTCCGACAGCCGCGAAAAGTTAAACATGCATCAATACCACATAAGGAAAGATCGATTTTACGTATGGTTTAGTTCATAGATTAACATTGACTGCTGTTTACAAATGTAAGTACTTGAACACTAAGAAATAAGTTAACTCAAATGCTTTAACCGCATATACCAGAGATTTCGCGTATTGAGAGAATTATATAGTAATCGAGTACAACAAACTCAGGGGAATACAATACCTCCAAAAGTTTAAAAGCTATTAATTTGTCACATACCTCTACTTTTACTTATTTCCTAAACTATTCCCCTCCTTGTTAATCTGCTAAATGCTATTGGACTGCCTGCGTTTTTTTTTTAAAGTTCAAGACTAAAGTATGCCTCCCTATGTTAATGTCATTAGACTTTCTAAAGTTTCTTATTTAAGTTCATTTGATGATTATGATATCTCATTAGTCTAATTTAATAAATTATTAAAAGCTCTAATTCACCTAATCAAGCATAACCCATGCTTTATTAATTACCTGCACTTGTGCTTGTAATCTAAAATTAAACGTATTTCAAGTACTTTTGATTTTGACCTATACCTATTTATTATATCTTAGTTCGACCCAGGTAACACCTTCATGTGACTAAAATGCTTCATTTTGAAGTTAGTTTCCTAGCTGATTTTTAAATTATATAGGGTATATGCTCCAATTACGCTCTCACGTTTCCACTATGTCGCATCACAAAAATACATATGGGTATGCCACAATAGAAGCACACCACAGCGGAAATCTCGAGCCATAGTTAAATCTATCTGCGTAAAAATAAATAAAATAAGAGTGATTTGCGGCAAAACCCGCCAGTATCACACCCAAAGTCAGTGCCTATACGTAAGCGTACTACGACGCGGCTCTCAATCAAAGGAGTAACAAGTGTGATGCTATCACTGCTAGACTAGATCTTTGGTTCTCTCATGCAGTGGTTTATCAGAGAGGGGAGGCTTAGTAATCCCCATTGCCTGTCCATGACGCCATTCTATCGCGGCATGAGCCAGCAACTCCGCCCATAAACCTACCGTCTCCAACACTCCACTATAAAGCATGAAATTAAGCCCGCCCACCAACAGCAAGGTGCAAATACTAGCCAAGGGGAGGGACTCTTCCCTCATGTTTTCAAAAAGATATTAGTCTGCATTTACCGAAAAACCTCTCTCTGCATTGGCGTTGCCATGCGATAAGCAGCAAATCAATTTCACAACCAACAATAGTTCTGAATACGCTGACCAATAACCTGTGCTAAAAAAAAACTTCCAGTCGTTCCTCTTTGCGATCAATTGATCAAATGTGTATTTACCTGTGCAATATTGTTCAGATGATCAATATTAATAAACCTTTCCATAATGCCTCTAACCATTATAGACATCGCGATGCACAAAAAAGGCACCATAGGGTTGTCCGTCTGAAATTCGCATAGAAATGGCTAAACTTCGACAGCAACTGATTTGAAGAAAGCTAGCTTAATACCACGTTCAGAGTACAGAGTTATAACATGTTATAACGGTTATCAAATAAGTGCAACACAGTAACCACCATCAAGATAGTGCTATAACATGTTATAAATCTGTAGTCTGAACGTACTATTAGCCATCAGCAGCGAGTCATTCAAACAGTTTTTAACATCTTGGTAGGAAGCTGACGTTGATTCGATTGTCTTTCTGGATGCCTTGAATAAATTTTCGTATTTGCGAACAGCAGCCCTATTTTCCAACCATCGGTGGCCGCAAAACTTCAACGGGAATATGAGATCCAGAATACATCGTGATAAACGCTCGTCTTGCTGGTACATCTTTGAAGATATGGTAGATACCACGCAAATATTTGACAACATCCCAACTGATACTACGAACACTATCCTTGAAAGCATTATGCAAAATATACAGCCCACAGCTTCCCAGATCTATCAGCTTCTCACCACCTTTTTGTACCTCTAGCTTCAATTCACATTGGGCCCATCCATGGACACTTGAAGCAACTTGTTCGAAGAGATACCGGCAAGGGCGTCCATAAACGCAGCGAGTAGATCTGATGCCCGGGATCTTCCCAAAAACTTTGACGTCATGCACTGATAAAATTTCAAAGATTGTTTTTATGTGTTCCACACATGATTTTTTGCAAAGTGATCAGATCAACATTATTTTTTCCCTGATCTACACTAAAATTCCCTGACATTCCCTGACTTTCCAGATCATAAATAGAATTCCCTGACATTCCCTGACTTTCCAGGTTTTACAGGTAGTCGACACCCTGTCGATGTTTCCTGCAAACATGGAATTGTATTCAGCTGAAAAAAGGGATAGTTCGGATGGATTGAATCGATTTCTGTTAAATTTTCACAAAAATATATTTTATCTGATTTTTTACTCTTTCAATCTTTTATGTATCTTAGTTTTAATCTATATTTTGAATATGAATCATTACTTTTGAACAGAAAACAAAACATAACAGACGTAAAATTTAATTTGGGCAACACACATTGTGACTTGTCTACCCAACCGAGTGGGTACTAAATTCGCTCTACCTTTCTCGTATCTCCCACAAACACATTCAAATTCAATTCAATCTTCAACGAGGGCAAAGTGAACCCCTGCCAAACCTTTTTCGAGCTAAATTACGCTTAAATGTAAGTGTTTTCAACTAAAATTTAGAATTTAATTCTCTAAAACGCAAATCTATAGTAAAAGTTAAAGTGAAGCAACAGTAAGGCACCTACAACAAAAAACTTGCCTCAGGCGAAGATATTCGACGGATTGAACTTATTTCGGACATCCAAAGCAAATGCTATCTGTGGAAAAGCAAGCAAAATCCTGCATCTGCACTCTTAGATGGAAACGAGTAGTCAATAGAACTGCTAGCTGGTGGCGCAGTGCATATAGTGGTAAATTATGGTCACATTTAATCTCAGGTAACAACAACCGGTCACTTAAAACGCTTCCTGTGGGGGTTTTAAACAGTTGTCTACAATGAAGAATTTATTCTCCCAAGGCACTCAATGATCCCTTCCACTCTGTGAGCTCTGGTATTCGCTTTTATAATCTCAACCTCTCTCACTCTCTCTTGTCTGTTATTTCGATCGATAGAATGCTTTGCTAATTTTGTAAAAATAAAGAATATTCAGACTTACTAAAATCCACTGGAAGTTGGGTTGGGACTGTTGGCACTGCTGCCACCATGACTACTACAACTTGCAGTAGGTCCGCTACTTGAACTGGGTAACGGTAACGACGTGGAAATGGCCTTCATCACCTCTTCCTGTAGTGATGTGGGCGGATCAGACAGGATATCAGTTGTCGTCGATAGTTGGCGTAGTTTATTGGAGACCGCTGATTGAGAGGGATGGTTGTTAAATTGTTAATCATTCATAATAAAGTAATTGATTGCTATTAATCAACCTACCTGGCCTGAGTTCCACGAGTGAGCAGTGCTGGTCGACCCACAGTCCACAGGATCGACACATTTCATCCAGGCTGGCAACGGACACGGTTTGGTTGAAGGAGGTCATCAGTGGTTCGAAAATTAAACCAAACTAGAAAGAAAGAGCACATTGTTGATACAGCTCTGTTTAATTCCACGTAAGAGGAAACGTACGATCCAGAACTTCCAGTTATCAAGTGTTCGCTGTCGGACGTATTGTTGATACAACTCCTTGACGCGACCCGTCCGTTGGCGAGATACTGGTGCACCGCTTGCCGGTAGCGCCGTTTGTAGATTGCTGGAAGGATATGAATTAAATATTCACTGAACATTATGATAATTGATTACCAAGCGTATGATGAGCTTCGACACGCCAGTTAGTTTTACAGCAGAAAAGGAACTCCGCTACGGGTTTGGATGCCGAAATTCCATTAGTTTATATTAACTTTCAGTGAAGCATTTCAACGACCAACATCGGAGGTTTAAGTATTGGTTCTGCCTCTGTTGGATTTAAATGTTCTGCTTGCACGTCATAACCGTTTCTAAAATATTTATTGTGTAAGGCAGTGGCAGTGTTTCTCAATTTATGAGTCACGTGCTGTCCTTAGATGGGTCACAAAATCACAGATGTTCCGACAGGCTGGTCATTAGTAGAAATAAGGAAGAGATGAGCGCTATCTGCTATTTTTGGGTCAAACGAACGTTCTTACTAGAAATATTTAGAGGATTTCTAATTCTTATTATGTCAAATTGAGGAGTATTGTAATCGAACTGACATTCAAGTACCTTTATTTTGTTAGCGGTTTTCAAATTCAACTAGTTTTTGGAATCAATGATAATACCCGAGCAGAGAATGAGAACAGCATGAAAACTAAATTTGAAATTTAGATATAAGCGTTCGTGATAACATATTTTGCCTACCGTGTGGGTCGAGTTAACAGTAATCATAACAAAAATGAGATCTTAATGGTATTTGAAGGATATTAAAACAGATAACAAATCATGTATTCTTGATAACAAATCCATGTATACGTTTTGATTTTAGTAATTTCGTTAATAATAAACAAAATAAGTCATCAATATATTATTATATATATAAATTACTTATTATTTTGATATCATGATATCAAATTTAGAAATCTGAATTTCAGATCTATTGGTTGATATCAAGATTCTAAATATAAAAAAATATCAATAAGTTTTCATCTATTCAAAAAAAAAAAAAAAAAACTACAGTTTAATCAGTTCTATCGATATCTATCAGTTATATCGATTTGTAAATTCAATTCGCAGGTAGATTAATATCAATAAATGTTGTAAAATATAACTATAAAAATCATAATTGTCTAAGTGATGTTCATAAAGAAAACAGCAAGCCTGACTCGTAAAAAATTAAAGGGTTGTGCCCTAGACACGACCGCAGTATGACGTAGAACTACGCAAAATTGAATTTTTGATTATTATACTTGATCTTATTTTTTTTTAAAGTATTTCAATGTTTCGGTTATGGTTCAAAACTCGCGACAATTCATGTTAGCATAATCAGACCACGGTTCATATTACGCATGAGATAATGTATTTACATTTAATTTAATGGTTAAGAATTGACAGAATTTCCCCTACATAACTACCTTGGGTTGATGAATGTTGAGTTATTTTGCTGTGATCAATGCACACAAAATTTTACATCGACTACAATAGGAACTGACACTATTTCGTCACACATTTTTTTGTTGATTTGCACCTCAGTATAGTACACAAAAACGCCATGCATGTTGTGGGATAAAACAATTGCCAAAAAATACATTATTTTTTTTCAGTAGCTCCATCATTAGTTTTAAGTTAGGTTTCTGAAGCAGAGAAGAAAGTGAAGATTGCATTTTATTATAACGCAACAGGAAGTTGCTAAAATGGTGATATTTGCTAATGTAATCGCACTTATTTAAAATAGTTCCAGTGCTCCAATGTTGATCAAATTTCGGATTTCGGTTCCATGTTTAATGTAGATTACGTATATGCCTTTAGCTCAATACCCTTAAAGAACCCAATTGTAAACTGTAGATAGAGCTTCTTTCTCTATGATACACGGTATATGCATTTGGGTTAACATCCGACGCCCCTCCTTCTTTACATATTCTGACAGGCCCCTGACAGGATTTCCAGTTTTTTTTTTATGAATGGGGCGGGGCAGAAAGTATCTTTTGTGCAGAGTATGTAAAAAAGGATGGACTTCGGATGTTTATCTAATTGCATATACAGAGGTACCAGATTTTCCAGTCAGTTGGTGAATAACCACCCACAGAATAACATCAAAATATTGTGAGCGATTTTTTTTTCTAAAATTCGAAGCTCTCTGGGCAGTAGTTGGGTAAACAAAATTAACGTAATTAAACTTTTTTTTATCACATTGTAGTTTGCTTAAACAATTATTTGCCGGAAAAAAAGGGATCGTTAAAGTCCATGTTTTTTTTCAGGTTGTCATTATAGGTGAGGGGGGGGGGGGTTTGCATAAAAAACTTTTCCACGTTTCGTATTAGGGGCTGTTCATTCACTACGTAGACAATTTGTTGGGATTCTTGCCCCCTCCCCCCCGTAGTTAATGAACAGCCCCTTAGTTGAACGGGACCCAATTCACCTTTAACCACTGACTTGCTCCTGCCTACTGCAGGACCAAGCGCCACGCCGTCTGAAGCGGTAATGAGCAGAAGCGCGACAGCAATGCTGTTTTATATCTTTACAGAAAGATGTGCAACCAAGTGGTGCTCGATTATGATGACTGTGTTTGGGAAAAATGCTAATTTCATGAAAACAGTGATAAAATTATCATTTGTACATTTTTCAAAAGATTTATTACAGAAAAATTGGAAAATGTTTATTTCAGCAGGTTTGTAATATAATAACCTATCGATTGGCGTATTTGGATTTTAATTTCATCTATAAATGACAAAGTTACAAGCGTTCAAAACCTAACACTACTTCACCACACATATTTTTTGATTTGCACCCCAGTATAGTCGACAAAGACGTAGTTCTACGTCAAAAAAAGATTTCAGTGATAAATGTGGATGCTCATTTTATAAAAAAAAATCAAATTTTGTTTTAAATTATATTTTTTAGAAACATAAAACTAATATCAAAATATGAATTCAACCGAACTTAAAAAATAGCATGTCAAAATATGTTATCAACATGATTTCAAAAACATAATTTGATATCATTTTGATAGTATTTTGATATCCGACTTTGCTCGGGGAATCTAATCCCTATTGATTTGATACAAAACATTGCAAAGCATTCAATTATTAATTTGCACGTACCAACATCGAATCGAAACGAAAAGTCATGTTAAACGCTACCTTGTGGCGAGGGTTGCAAGATAATTGACATACAAAACACTGCTGATAAATTGAATTTTGTTTTCTCCGCCCATCTCTCCATCTCAGGATTTCGCGGATTTCTAGTCATTAGTAGAAATATTGCGCGTCTTTTAATAAATTCGATTATGGTGGCCCCCATAACGCGCAGGTGAAGATAGCTGCGAGATAGCCGCCACGTCAAATGCATAGGAAAAATTTCGCGCGAATAATAAACAAGCATATTTCTAGACTAACATTTGAAAGGGGCGGAAGAGCCAAAATGTAAACAAACCATATTTTGCCTTAAATAAAGAGAACAGTTCACAAACTACTCGATAAACACGAAAAAGTAGAAGAAAATATCATTTCAAATCATTGAAAACGTTTTCCTTTAATTGGCGTATTTCCAATTTTCAACTCTATGATGCATCTGGTTGTTACACCTTGCACTAGAACTACGAATTATATTGTTTTAATATGCCAAACGTACTGATTCTATAGTATCTAGTCACGCCAGATTCATATGAAATGCATCCGATTGAAGACAAAAAAAATTTTTTTTTTTTTTGTTAATTACTTTATTTGTACAGGCTCATTCGAATAAACTTTACAGAGCCAAGTTATCATTTTCTTTATACATTATAAATGTCTTAAATCTAAAATTAAAGGATTGGAACCGATTACTCGCGGTCTTCTCGAGGTTAGTGGATGACAATTATTTGGATCGGGAGAGGGAAAAGGAGATTTGGAATATGATTTATGATTCAAAAATTTCACTATTTCTAAAACAAATACTTAATCCTATCGACGTTATATCAACTCTGTAATTATACAATTATTACAGAAACAAATCTACAAAAAAAAAAATACACACACACATACAAAACACAAACTAAACACAAGGTTAATCAAACTTACAATCTATGGTTAATATTCTTCAAGAAAACATATATGAGTTGCATAAACTCCAGATCGCGTCTAGCCAAAATATCCCGAACTGGAACATTAGGTTGTCTACCTCGAGCCCGAAGGGAATCGTACAACTCGGATCTGACTCCACGGTGCTCAGCACATGACCAAATAACGTGATCTGCGTCCTGGTAACCTTGTCCACATTCACAGAGATTACTGTCCCCCAGCCCAACACGGAACAAGTGAGCGTTTAACGAGTAGTGATTGGACATGAGGCGAGACATCATACGAATGAAGTCTCGACCCACATCCAACCCCTTGAACCAAGGACACTTCGACACCTTAGGGATGATTGAATATAACCATCGTCCCAAACTCCCTTCACTCCATTTATTTTGCCAGCTGGCGAGTGACTGTTGACGATAAATGAAGAAAAATTCGTCGTAGGCGATTTGTCGATCGTAAATATCGCCTTCCATAGCGCCCACCTTTGCAAGCGAGTCCGCCTTCTCATTGCCCGCAATCGAGCAATGAGATGGGACCCATGCAAAGGTGATGACAAAAGATCTTACAGATAAAGCACTTAGAAGCTCTCGTATTTTCATGAGAAAATACGAGGAGTGCTTTACCGGCCTCATGGAGCGAATAGCCTCGACAGAACTGAGACTATCCGTAAAAATAAAATAATGATCTGGTGCAAGTGAGGCGATCGTTTCTAGCGTATAATGTATTGCCGCCAGTTCCGCAACATATACGGAACAAGGAGCATGCAGCATTCGAGAGGCGCTATGAAATTCGTTATAAATACCAAAACCAGCGGACGCCTCTATTAGTGATCCATCTGTGAAGAACGATCTTGCGGAATCAACTTGGCCAAACTTTGCAGCGAAAATTGACGGAGCAATCATGGAACGATGATGCTCTGGGATTCCGCGAATCTCTTGCGTCATTGATAAATCAAAATGAACAGAACTGTCGAAGTCGGAGAAGCAAACACGATAGGGATTATGCTGCGAAGGGCTGACATCCT